GTAGATATTGATATCGTATCAAGAGAAGCGGAAATTTGCTGAAGGTTATACAATGATTTTCAGATATTACTTAGTGCTCTGTTCATCAAGCTATAATGGCATTGAGGAGGATGGCATGTGCTCACTGCACGCCTGTTTGATTTTGTTAAACGTCGGATAATTTGGGAATAGGCATTGACACACCCAGGAAAAATTCCAAAATGCACTTCATGGTTTCCCATTCAGAATATTCATACCTTGACTCCTACAACAAGGTATAAATAGTCTGAATGGGAAACCATGTGCAGCTACTTGTGTTGAATCAGCAAAGCTTGGCTCAGAGGTAAAGAAAGGTTTGATTAGAGAGGTTGGGGACTCGTGTAAATAAGCAGATTAGAGTTGATGGATCTGAGAAGATGTGGGAGGGGAAGAGGTGGTGGAAACTGTCATGAGATTTATGGAGAAAAGGCACAGAACCAATGACAAATTAATCTCAACCTATAACTGAGAAGTTGTTAGGTATTCAAAGACCATGTATATACGTACATGAGTGTTCCTTCATGAAGTCAGTGCTTGTGTTGCTACCTCAAACTGGGTAAGCAAATCCTGGTTCCTGAGTGGCAAAAGTTTGGAACACAATTTCATCCCCCAGTTGAACAAGATTTTATAGCTGATCTTGCCCAAGTGCTCTCCTGATAGAAGAAGCCCTATCTGGCTTTACTGACAATGTCATTGGTGTCTCCTTAAACACTGTATCTGGAAACTCACTGCTCATAAAACAGCCTGGTCCATATTAGAATGATGGGCCTCTTTTCTTGAGCTGAAATCTCATCCTTTAATGAAAAAAAAAATTTCTAAACATATATAGATGGAAAACCAGATTTAAGTTTGTTGGGCTCATCAAGTATAAAACCAAAATAATCTTATACATTGATGTGAGACATGCAAGACCTGTACAATAAAATTAAAAACATACTAATTTAAAAGGATTAATGATACTGTTTTTCTGAAACAAAATTCCTCATGTTGTGCTTCAGAGTAGAAGGATGGAGCCTCTGGTTAATTTCCTTATTTAATTTGCTTCACTAAGTTTTACTAAGCAGCACAGGGAATGCCTGTTTGCCTAAGTATGGTATATCAAAATATACTGAAATTTCTATTTGCGGGGTTTAAAATAGTCAGATCTCACTTAACTAAAACTGCTGGCAATTAGTCCTCAATTTCCCACTTTAATGAGAATTTCCCTTGGCAACTTTGTAAAAACTTGGAAATTAAGGTCAGAGTTGCAGTGTTACAGCAATCTTCAATAAATAGGCATCTAATCCAGTTATTGCTGGAACTGGGAATAGAACAATCTTTCATTGTTATTTATGACTATACTTACTGCTAATGAACTGCTGCTACAGACTGAGGCATGATCACAGGATCCAAGCCAGAACTCTTGCAAACTGCGAGGCGTGTAGTGTAGGTTATCTTCAGTTCAGCTCTCACGTATGTCTGAGTGAGGCTGTTCTTCCACCCCCTTTCTGTTCCAACTTCTATGAAACATCTGTCTGAACATACTTTGTCACCTGTGGGATTGTTGGTATGGACCGGTTGCCTAGATCAATGGTTCTCAAGATTTAGCGTGATTTATAATCACCTGGGGAACTTGTTAAAAATGCCCACTCCCTGGACCCCACCCCGGAGCTTCTGATTCTTAAGTTAAGGCTGGCCCCTAAAATCTGTATTATTAACAAGCACTTTGAATGATTCTCATATCAATGGTATGTATCCAGTAGTTTTATTCTTTTAAAGATTTTTATTGACACAGAAACATAAAACTAAGAAAACTGTTCACAAGCAACCTAGTTTGAGAAATTCTGGTATCCTCAGATTTGTATCATTTACAAATGAGTCAGCCCTGGATATCAGACAAATCCCTAATAAACATCTTGCATAGGAGAATGTCAGTAGCCAAGGCTTTCTTTCAAATGGCTTTGACCTATTAAATTGATTTTAAGGGACAAAGATATTCTAGATGATGTTCTCAGTGATTCCCAGAGCATTCTGGAAGCTGTGGACTACAGAGGAATGACATTTTCAGGTTGTACCCTCACTGTTGAAATCTGCAAGCCAGTGAGACAGCTGGAAAGAGGGAAAAAACATGCCAGAAAACAGGAATCAAAGTAAGAAACAAAGCTAATGTTTTCTCCTTAGTTATTGCTGTATGTTTATTAGTTTATAAAGTTAATCATCACATATTTGCCTAAAGAGGAGATAGTATTAACAAGTTAATAAGCCCAACTTCTGAATGTGTCTTACTATCTACTGTTTTCCTCCTCAGTTAATTTTTGTTGATAGCTTCTGGGGTGAAACATACGAGGTGATTAGGATTACTTACAGCTTTACAGGGGATGGAGAGGCTTGCTGGCAATTATTTTGTCTTTTGGGGGAAAGTGATTAAAATGTTAAGTGTCTCGGCATATAATTCAATAGTGATCATCTGTTTGAGAGTTGAATTTAATATTACAGATTAACAACTTCCATTCTTTATATTTTAGCATTCATATTTATAATATATAAAATCCTTAAATAGAAAAGATTCTCAATGGATTTTTTATTTTTACTTGAGGAGAATAGAATTATTGAGCATTTACATTTAACAAAGAATTGATCACTAGAATAACCCTTACAATTTTATTGTTAAAATTATTCCATTTAAAAGTGCTGAGACTTATTTCTAAAACTTACTAGAAATGGAGAAAGTAAAAAAAAACAATAAGGATATGTTTTAATACAATAAAACTTACATACTATGTAGTGGTCCACCTTTAAGGCTATTCTATATACAAGAATACAAAGAGAAAGAAGGCAAATATGGAATTCTGATGAATAGGAATGATTTTAAATGGTTAACACCATTTAGCATGCCTAAATGTGCTCCCCCTCCATGTTTTTGTACACTTTGTGCTACATTTATACTTATCAATACTTTATTTCATTTTGCATCTGTGCCTTGCATGTAGGCAGACCCCTGAAATGGTGTATACAAACTTGATGTGAAGAGAGCATCTGGAAGCCTTAATGAGCTGTAAACTTAAAGCTATTCTTAAAACCTAGAAACTCTTCAATGAATTTTTATGTCAGAAGAATAAGGTTGTTTCTTTTGAATTATGCATTCATCCCTGTATTTCTCTTATTTATGGTCCCCAGTAGCTCTGTGGCTGAAGACTTTATATCCTGATTTCAAGAACTTGATATGCAATTCAGGTGCCTGACATTATTCTAAGCATAAAATAAGCTTCAACTAGTTATTGCCAGTGTTGTTAACATTTTACTAAGGCAGCAGATCAGGGTTGAATAAATGAGGCCAAATGAGTGTGCATATCTATTAGAGTGGCATGTGTAGGGTTTGGTCGTGCATCAATATTCTTTCAATTTTAATGTATGAGAGCAAAGTTCAGATGAGTTTAACCAGACTGATTCTCTATTATTTCTTTCTAGAGTCTTGTCCCTAAGGCTGACAATATGGCTGTCAATACAAATGCAAATTCTGTCCTTCTCTTGGCTGTCATGTTGGAGTTATCATTGCTGTTCAGGTAGCAGAATACCAGTTACTCATTCACTCAAGAAGCTCTATTGACATTTGTGGTGGAATAGAGGTTCATGGGGGATCCTATCTCTTCAGCTTGGGATGAATTTACACACACATCTTACCTGAAGTAAGCTGCACCCTTTTCTCTGCACCATGGCTAGAATTCTTGATAGCTGTTGGCCTTCAGTGATGTATATTATATACAGTAATTTCAGGAAGCATGTAAATAAAATTAGTGCAGAGGAAGCCCATGTCATGGTGGTGGAGAGCGGAATGGGCATCGTAAGACCTAAGCTAGAGTCATGGAATGTTTCCTGACTTACCATGGATCAGTTCAGTATTTGCATAACACTCCTTTTAGCACTGTTTGGACATAGTAAATTAAACATCTGAAGAACTGAGTTCTCGTGCCAAATTGGCACTAATTCTAGGACTGTGTAAAATGTATTTACTAGGCCCAAAAACTACTTTTCTATAACTTACTGAAACAGCACCATAATGGGGGTTACATTGACAGGAATAAAGAATTCTCTGGGGCTATAGGTGACTTCATTTTGATAGTGAGAGGGAAAAAGAGAGAAGTTAGTATTGTAAGAAAACAAGCAAATTCAACTGTAATTATATCTTCACCTTGCCTTCTACTTTGTTATGTGCCTTCCTTCTATGTGGAAAAGCTCATTATTTCCTGACGAGAGTTAAATAGCAGGGTTTTCATTATTGCTTGTCTTCAGTAAGTAGTAAGAGGTGATACATCTTTTAGTTTTATGAAACCCTAATATTATTGAACCATATAGAATTGTAGAATCAGATCTTAATTTTATACATGAGGAAGCTGAATCCCTGAAGAAAAGTGACAGCTTAGTTCATTATTCAACGTCCATTCATTCATTTAACAAAAATGTTAAGTGCTCGGCTTGCAATGTGCCCAGTGAGGCACTGTGGGGAGACAGAGAGGACTAAGATAGCCTCCTACATAAGAGTCACAGGAAAGAATGAAGAGAGTGCTATTACCAAGATGCAGGCAGGTTGCTGAGGGAGCTATGTACCACTCATGAAGCTGGCATTTCTTTTTCTCCCTGTCGGTGCGGGGGTGGGAGGTGGAGGTGGGGGTGGGGGAGGGGGAGGGGGTTGGATAATAGAGGAGAGCCTTGATCAAATCTAGAGGATTCCAAAGTAATTGCTTCCAGATTTCCTATCAAACTATGCAGCAGTACGGTTTTTACTCCAATTCATGGAATATTACTATAATTAGATAGGTATTTCTAATTAAAAAATACTTAGTTGTCTAACATTTTTCTCCCAAGAAAATTAACAAACACTATTGCTGATTTTCATCATCATGAAGATTAAGATTCATGAGTCATAAGAAAAAGTTTGCTTTCAATTAAAAAAAAAAGCAAAACTACTGCAATAAAATGAATGAAAATATGGAGCCATCTGTGTCTTGAATGATAATGCCAAATGAGTATTTATTGTAAACAATACAATTTATTCAAGTCCACTTTCAATGGAGAGTGCTTTAGTGTACATGCAAAAAAGGAAAATGAATTCTTTCTTCATTCATAGACCGTATATGCTACACACACAGAGTCATACAGGTACATATGTGATACGTGCATATATATCTCTAATACTTGTATGCAACATTTCCTGACAGGAAATGCAGTTAATTCCCAAACATCCACTATCAGGAGCGTCATCTTTATCTGTCACCCAAAAGACAGTTCAGGCCCTTGTTACCTCTGGTAACTGTCATAATGCCATAGTCTCCTCCAATCAGCAATCTGGTATTTGCCCATCTGTTCTAGTCTTTGCAGAACCATAAGATTACTTTTCCTAAAACATGACTTAAGTCACACTTTCTTGCTCAAAATTTCCCAAAACTGCACATTTACAGAATATAGTCCCATAAACTCCATAGCAACATAGTAACTATAATTTTCCAACCTTCTCCCCCTTCAAGCTGAAAACACCCTTCCACTCCAGCCAAGGAAATCAAATGCCATCCCACTTTCCTACTGGTTTTCCCTGTTCTAGAAACCTGTGCAAAGTCTCCCCACCTTCCCGACCCTCACTGACAGATCAGGCCCACTAATCTTTGCCAGAGGTACGTGTTCTGTATCCTGTCTTTGGCACCCAGTAAATGCATTATTTTTGTGAATCCATTTTTTACCTCTTTTAATGAGTCCCTAAGTTCCTGAGGGGTGACTGGATGATTTGAAGAAGGCTCCATTAAAAAAAATATTAATGTACAACGTAATAAGGATCTAAAGTACAACACGAGGACTATAGCTAAGAATAGTGTCTTATATTCACGATTTCGCTAAATGAATGTATTACAGCTACCCTTGCCACAAGTAGAGGGTTGTTGGGGGAAATGCGTAACTATGTGAGATGATAGATATGCTAATTTGTTCCATTATAATACCCATTTTACTATATATGTATCTTATATTGTATGCCTTAAATACACATAAAATTTATTTTAAAAATTAAAAAATAATGTTTTGTAATTTTTGAGGGTACATAGTATGTATATATATTTATGGGGCATATGAGATGTTTTGATACAGGCATGCAATGCACAATAATCACATGGAAGACAGGGAATCTATCCTTCAAGCATTTATTCTTTGTGTTATAAACAATCCAACTATACTTTGTTATTTTCAAATGTACAATTATATTATTTTGACTATAGTTACCCTGTTGTGCTATCAAATACTGTATCTTATTCATTCTAATTTTTGTGCCCATAAAAATATTTCTTAAATGTCTTGGTTACTTGGTTAGATCTTCAGATATTGTGAGACCACCAGGACCAGGAATTACTTCTTTCACTTACAAATCACTGAAATCCTCTCTATTTCAGTGGAAAGCTTTACAAACACTGGGGAGGACCAAGTAGCCGACCTGCGGAAAGATGGGGACTTCCCTTATCAACCATTAATTCAGATCTTCTCTGTTAACATTACTTCAAGACACCACCAACTTGATTTTTTTTTTCTTTCCAAAAAGAAAAAAAAAATACTGCAGTCCCTAGCCAATAAATAACTCACCTGAAGGTCAGGAACAACCCCCCTCCCTCCTTTCTCACAGGGGGTGTTTGGGAGGGGACGGGGGCTGGAAAGGCCGGGCCATCATCTAAGTGGGAATCAAGGGCTAAAGCTATAGGCATTGGCAGCTGTCTCCCGGCGTCGTCCACGGAGCCTGACCCCGCGCCAGGAAGGAGGAGGCTGTGCCCATATAACTGTCCTGAAGTACTGCGGTGCCCCCCTCCCCCGCGGCTGGGAGGGCAGGCAGGACGAGGTTGGCTTTCCTCGCACGGTCTCTGGGCGTGGGCCCCCGCCGCAGCTCCGCGGAGCCTCGGTGTCTCCTGCAACAGGGGGCGGGGGGAGCCGCGGCGAGCAGCCCTGGGCTGCGGCTTCCTCCCCACGCCCGAGTCTCCTGCGCACCGCCGCCGAGGACGCGCGCCCGAGCCTGGTCCCCACGCCGCGGCGCGCCCGGGCTCCCCGCCGATTTCAGGTAACTTTTCCGTCTCCCGGAGTGGGGGACTGCGAGGGGGTCTCGGCTTTACGAGGTACGGAGGAAGAGCCCGAGGCCTGGAGCGAGGCGCGCGGGGTTGTGTGGCTGTCGCGTGGCTCCGGCGCCGCGCGGTCTCCCGAATCCCGAGCCCCGCGCCCGGTTTGGCCGGGGTCCCTACCCGCCCTCCCGCTCGCCGGGACCCCAGCCGGGCCGAGCCTATGCGCCGCGCCCAGCGCCCGCTCCGTCCGCCGCGCTGCAGCAGCGGCTGGGCCGGCGAGCGGAGCGTGAGCCCCGGCCTCCGGCCTGGGGGCCTCCCTGGGATCCTTGGCCGAGGGCGCGACTCCGTCCCCTTGTCCCTTCTCCGTCAATTTGCGCAAATCCCCCGCCCGGGGCGCCATGTTTTAAGTTGCCCCTTGGGCTGGGGGCCAGCGCGGGCCAGCCCCTCCCGCGGAGAGGTGAGGGGTGGGGGGGCGACACTGAGGCGCCGCCCGGGCGGGTGGAGGCTGGCGGGCCATGGGAGGGGCCTTGCGCCCAGCGCGCGGCGGCTGCGGGCTAGTCCCGGGTGCAAGCGCGGGCGGGTGCGGCTCGGGGCCGGTAAGGTGCGCTTGGCACAAAGCATCCCCGCTGGGCAGCGGGGCCGGCCGCTTTTATGTAACTTGCCTCTTTCCCCAATCTGGGGCAGCTGCCCCCTCCCGCGACGGGGCACGGCCGGGTCTGTGGGGGAAGAGGAGGGAATGTCCGAGCGGGGTTGCCTGGGGCTTGGGCACCTGCAGGGCCCCCTCGCCGCTGGCACCCGGGCGCGTGACCGCAGGCTGGCCGGGGGCGCACGGGTCGGCCTGCGGTGGCCGGGGGACTCGGGGCAGCGCGACTCACCTGGTGCCTACGGGGCTGCGATTCGTCAGGGGAGGTGTCTGCGAAGGCGGCTCTGCGGCGGTGGGGGTGGGGAGGCTGGGACTTCGGACCGCTGGAGTTGGGGGTTTCAGTCAGTTCCTGGCGAGTGTTTCCTGGCTGCTGCCGCAGGGGCTTGGTTATTCGGGTTTCCCCTGTAGTCTTGCCCGACTTCTTCCCCTTCCCAGTCACACACCCGCCAAGTTCAGGGCTTCTGCAATGCGGTGGGTGTGGTTACCTAGTAAATTGTAACTATGGTCCCTTGCAATGAGAGTATTCTTCAATTTTCTTTTTATATTACGGATCTGAAGTTTCCTAGGGTTTTCCTTTAGTTGCAGTCCAGGGTTAAAGTTGGTAGAGATTGTTGCAGAACAGACCAAATAGAATGATAAAGGAAACATGTGGTATTAATTACTTGTGGAGGTTGGGCTGGGAGGTCCTGAGAGGGCCAGGCATGGCCCTCTAATGCAGTGCTTCTATTGCGTGTTTAAGTTGTTTCAGCTTCTTTACATTAGTCCTGCGAAATTGCTTTTGCAGATATCCTGCCTGTCCTTTTTTTGGAGGATGGTGGGGAGTGGGAATTTTAGGCTCTCTGAGGCGGTCAGGTATGCTGGAGTTTCTCTTGGTAGCATTAACTTCTGTAGTACAGAAAGCATCACACCAAGTGCTAAAAGCATTATTTTTGAAATTTACCCTGATTTTTAATGTCACAAGGAAACAAAAATGATGAAATTCTACTTACATCTGTGAGCCATGGATGTAGTCTCAATTAGAGCAAATTAAGCAGAAAAGCCCTATTAAGAAAAGAGAACAGCACATTAAGCTCCAGTGAACTCTGGGGACTGAGAGGTGATTTCTGTCTTGGCTCAGAGAGGGTGTTTAAAAAATGCATGTTAATTTTGGTATCAAACTTAAAAACCTTTAGAGTAACAAAATTAATGTGAGAGGGAATAAATTCTAAATTGGAGAAGTGTGACTTCAGTTTGTTAATTCGTGAAGCCTTGCTAGCTGGCTGAATGCTTAATACTGTCTAATTTGCATTTTGATTTTCTGGTAGTTTAGAAAAGCAAAATATCAGATGCGTAACTTACGGCATAAAGTTTATTTAGTGAATACACTTTAGTCAAAATAAGTTTTTCAAAACAGAACATTTTTTTGTGAATAATTCATCCATAACAAGAAGAGTAGCCACTTGAATTTTTAAACCTCTTTTAGGTGAAGGATTCAGTTGCTATAGGTCAAATGTCAGTGTCTCAGTGAAATATTTACATTTATTTTTTAGCACATTTCTGCATAAATACGACTTAGGTTAAAAGCAATTTTTTTAATCAATTCATGTGCAGTGCTTGGACTTTGGCTAACTTTGTGTTGAAATACAAGATCAGGATTTTTTTTTAACTTGATTGGATGCAATTTTATTTATAATTGTTTTTTTAAAAACTATTTGGTCAAATGCATTAGGGGGGCACCTAAGTAGAAGAGAGGCAACTATCCATGTACAGAGAGATGTGATGCTATTATCATCTTGTGACTCTTTTCTGGACTTGTTATAGTATATTGGATTAAGTGTGGCAGGAACTTGCTATGAAAGTGTTTTCTTCCATGTTGTATGATGTGCATTCATTTTTTAAGTTAGTGCTTTCCCTAAAATTCACAAATTAGAATTCATATCCTGTCCAGTAAAATAGAACTCCAAGAGTAGACTGAAAAATAAATGTTTCCTTTCTGTGAGAATTTGACTATATAAAGATAGAGAGTTCTTTTTTTTGGTGGTTGTTTTTTGAGGTGGAGTGCCGCTCTGTCACCCAGGCTGAAGTGCAATGGTGTGATCTCAGCTCACTATAACCGCCAACTCCCAGGTTCAAGTGATTTTCTTGCCTCAGCTTCCCAAGTAGCTGGGATTACAGGTGACTGCCACCACGCTGGACTAATTTTTTTGTATTTTTAATAGAGACAGGGGTTTCACCATGTTGGACAGGCTGGTCTTGAACTACCAACCTCAGGTGATCCGCCTGCCTCGGCCACCCAAAGTGCTGGGATTACAGACCTGAACCACCGTGACTGGCGAGATGGGGGTTCTTAAGTAATCTACCCTGGCTGTCTTTAATTCCCATAGTTTCTTCTAAGTACCCCATCACCAGTTTTCTGTGGAATATAGACTCACCATTGAAACCCATGAATCAAATTTATCTTTAGCACCACTTCATTTAGAGAGATACTTAATGGTGCAATTGCTGCATCTATTTCTTTCAAAAGGCTAGCTAGCTGCTGATTTGTTGGGAATTCATCAGGCAGTCAGCTCCCGGAGGGTTTTGCTGTTATTTGATTTGCCTTGGCTGTGAGGAATTCTGTGCTCTGAAGCAAGGACTGGAGCAGTGAAGTCATTGTCCTGCCTGGTGTTGTGACATCACTATGGCTCAAAGGAAACAAGGGTGGGGCAGGCAAAACCAGACCATCTGAAGCATCTCGCTGGCTTTAAAACTTTGCCTGATCAATGAATGAGGCTCTCCTTTCTCAAGTTGAACTGCATTGAGAGGTATTGTTTGGAGAATTGGGAGATATAAATGAATATAAGATTGCATGGGAGAATGTGTCCCCAAGAGTAAGGTAGGAGAGTGTGTGTGTGTGTGTGTGTGTGTGTGTGAAATAGTAGAAAGCATTGAATATTTCTTAGGTAGAGCAAAATACTACAATTTTTTAGAAGGCCATTTACAAAATTAAAGAACAAGAAAAATGAGTCTATTTTTATTTACACATTGAGTCAACATATTTCTTACTACTGTTTTTTTGTACTAAAAGAGCATTCTTTCTAACTTTTTGATTTAGATTATTAGTAATGTCTTTTTAAAAAAAGAATGTGGTCTCTGTAAAGATACAGTTTACTTACTGGGCAGGCCATGTTCTCATTTATTTTTAAGTGATGAAATTGCAGTTGGCAATTGGAACAAATGGAAAAAGGTATTTCATAAGTGTAGAAGCTATCTGCAGTGATTTGGAGTAATTGATTTCCATTTCTATTTTTGTTTTATTTACTAATTATTTTATAATTTAGCATTTTAATCCTAATTTCGAATTCTGGTGCAGAGATGATCAGATGTATGTTTCATCCAAAATAGTGTTGAATAAATGATAAGACTGAAATTCAGAAACTGTAAAGTACATTTCATGTTTTCCTTTCTGAATTTATAGTAATATCAGCAGAAAAAATGAAGAACCACAGAATGGCTGCAGATGTTCCTTGTCTTTTCCTTACCTCCTTGCTAAGATGACTGACATTTTTCATGTGAGTGTATTATATATCTAGGAGCTCTGGACAGGCCTTTCTTAACTGTGTAGCTATTCCAGAGCACAGTTTCAAAGCATAAAGAAGAAACAAATTGGGAAGAATGGCACATGTGGAGAAGTTGAAATTAGGTGCCAGAACTGCAGATCACTTGGTTGAAATGTCTTGGTATTGCATTTTTAGTCCTTGCGATGACTGGTTAAATTGCATAGTTTGGAATCGTAAGCTTCTATTAGCACCAAACCCCTAATTCTTTTGTAATTTGCAGTATAGAGAAAAAGCTGACAACTTAATTTTTAGATTGCTGACATTTTGATAAGTTGTTCTTATAACCCTGCTTTACAAAACAGAGAGAGAGAGAGAAAGCAGAAAGGTCTGTATTAGACCTAGAAAACAAATGCAATATTTAACCTGTCTTGAGTGTATATTTTTCTCTTCAGTTATGTTGGGTGGGTGCTTGATGAGGATAGGAAGTTATTTCTCTTGAAGTTTATTTCCCAAACCAAGTAGAGGTCTAGACACTTAAAGTGTTCAGTAAATACTTAGAGAATTGTATAAAAAATGAGGCCATTTATCACTTATAATTTACTATAAAAAAAAAAACCTTGGAGAAGGCTTAAAAAGTACTGCTGCTTTATTTAAAAATGAGAATTACCGGACTCGTGTGTGTAGTCATTATTTTTAATGACATGGTCCTCTTCATAACAACGTTGTTACCTCTGTCTACAGCTCAAATTGGGTAGGTCCTAGAGGTTTTGCCATATGAGGGAAGAGAATTCTGCAGGTACCAAGAGAAAAGAAGAATGGTTTCTTTGAGGGGAGAACTGCAGGGAGTCAGCTTCCTTTCCTGCCAGCTCTAATTGGTGTCATGGAGGACCTCAGTGTGGAGGGAGTACTCTGAAGAGGGGAGGGCTCAAATGGGAGGGTGACAAAAGCTGAAAAGGATTAGGGCTGGGAGGTGATATTGATCCTAGCATTGAACTAAAAAGAGGAAACCTATTTTCTGTTTTAGCTCTCTCTTTGGTCATTTTTGAACATCCTTGTGTTTATATTTTCAAATAGCGAGTTTCTGAGTATTTGATTCAAGCCCCAAAATTTCGTCATTTCTAAAAGAAAATTATTTTTTCACATTTAACATCTCTGAAATTGGGATATATCTTACATGATCCTCAGCCATGTGGCAGAGAAAAAGCTGGCAACTTAATTAATTGATTGTGAATGTGCATCAAAAATTGGGGATTAGATGTTAGTGAACTGGAGAAAATCCTGGAGACAGTAATGGAGCACTTTTTTTTTTTTTTTGAGATGGAGGTTCGCTATGTCACCCAGGCTGGAGTGCAGTAGCATGATCTTGGCTTACTGCAACCTCCACCTCCCAGGTTCAAGCGATTCTCCTGCTTCAACTTCCTGAGTAGCTGGGATTACAGGCATGCACCACCACACCGGCTAATTTTTTTGTATTTTCAGGAGAGATGGGGTTTCACCATGTTGGTCAGGCTGGTCTCGAACTCCTGACCTTGTAATTTGCCTGCCTTGGCCTTCCAAAGTGCTGGGATTACAGGCATGGACCACTGCACCCGGCCTGGAGCACTCATAAGAAGTGATGCATTTCCAGTGCTCTTGGTGACCCAAGATGATATTGTGTGGAAAAGCATAGACAATAGTAACTCTTAGTTGATGTGCAATTTGGAAGAATTGGAATCTGAATATGTAAGAATTTTTAGGAATACTTTGGCCAATCTATTTTGTTTATATTTTCTTTATGCATTAAAAAACTAAATCAATTTGAGTTCTTGAAGAAGAATATGAAAATTCCAGTTTCTAAAAATGTATGAGTCATGGCTTAATGGACAGAGTGCTATGTAACATAATGTTATCTCTTATAATCAGTGTCATGAATCTTAGGAAATATGGTTTATCATTTGGCTATACAATTTTTTTGAAATATACTTTATAATATGTAGTGCTTATTTTACACTGTTCATTCTGTGTATCAGTGATTGTTTTTCTGTGTATTATTGTTTCCTATAAAAGGATATGTGCATCTTGGGAAGGTAACCTTATTTCCTAAGATCATGACACTGCTATAAGAGATTATGTTATATAGCACTCTGTCCCTTAAGCTATGACTCATACATTTTTAGAAACTGGAATTTTCATTTTCATCTTCAAGAACTCAAATTGATTTGTTTTTCAATGCATAAAGAGAATATAAATGAAATAGATTAGCCAAATATAGATATGTGAATCCTTTTATAAGAAAAACCTATTGAAAATTCTTCATTTTTCATTTTGACTTTTCCATTTCAGCCTTGTGAAGATGACTGGATTTTGTTAGAGAATCTCAGTTAGTCATTGAGAAGACATTCCAGATAGACATTCCAGAAGTCAAGAGGCCTGCATTTAGCTGGGATATAGCCTGTGTGCTGCGAAGTAATGGGAGATGAATCTAAGGAGGTAGTGTGAGGCCTGATTGTGGGTGTTTTGATATGAGACTAAGGGATATTTTGGACTTTCCTAGGTAGTGGAGAGTCATTGAAAGTGGTTGAGTAGGGAAGAGTAGGGAAGGATATTTTTCTGGTGATAAATGTAGGATGAGTTGGAAGAATAGGAATCTGGAGACAGATGGTCTTTAGTTAATGGACTTAGCCAAAATTTTACAGATACTGAATATAATTTTTTCTTTCAATGATTGATATTTTGGCAATTCATTCCATATTTTTATGGGCATATTTAATTGAAGATTAAATAGTACTTTTGGACTGTTTAAGGTGGAAAATGAGATATACGAAATATGGAAAAATTTTCCTTCTTATTTATCCTTTCAATGAACATATCTCAGTTTTTGAGACATCATAGACAATACATTCCCACTCTAAAATATATTCTAACAATACTGAAAAACCAAAAGAAGAACTCTCATTGTCTACTTTTCTGAATGTAGGACAGCCTGGGTTGGGCTCCCGGTCCTGCTATTTAAGAACATGTGGCATGGTTCTTTTAATTTCCTAGAGCCTGTTTGCTCATTTATAAAATGGGCATAATGCTTATATCTCAAGGATATTTGAGGATTAAATGATATGTAATACATGCAGATACTGAACACAGTGTCTGGTATATCATAAGTGCCTCATAAATAGCAGTAGCATAATTTTGCACATATGCAAACTCATACATAGGTTACATAATATTTTACATGGATAATCTTCTATCTTAAATACTTCTACATAACAGTTTTTTTTTTTTTTTTTTTTTTTGAGACAGAGTCTTACTCTGTTGCCTAGGCTGGAGTGCAGTGGAGCAATATCAGCTTACTGCAACCTCTACCTCTAGGGTTCAAATGAGCCCCCCAGGTTCAAGTGATTCTCTTGCCTCAGCCTCCCACGTAGCTGGGGTTATAGGCACCCACCACCCTACCCAACTAATTTTTTTGAATTTTTAGTAGAAATGGGGTTTCACCATGTTGGCCAGGCTGGTCTCGAACTCCTGACCTCAAGTGATCTGCCTGCCTTTGCCTCCCAAAGTGCTAGGATTTCAGGCATGGGCCACTGTGCCCTGCCAAACTTTTTTTTTAATCTAACAGTATGTCTGGGGGAAGCTTTTTCATGCACACAAATCTATACCCACATGATTATTTTTAATGGTAAATAAATATTTTCTTTTGGTTCTGTGCTATACTGGTAAAGGATCATTACCTTAGTGATGGTGTTAATGTATAGCCTTGTCATCCAGCCCCTCTGCCTCCTGCCACTTGCTGTCTGCACTTTACGGTTCTCTTCTAGTATACACATCAGGAGGCTTGTGGTAAGACAGGATATTTAAAAAATTTAAATCTCTGATGATTGTGTATATCTCAGTATCGTGTGTGAATATTTCTAACTAAAAGAAGCAAACTTTCATTATATATTTCTTGATTTTTTTTAAATTCAAATTTTAATATCTTTTCATAGAGGCTGAGCTCACTCACCAAAGCCTAACCTGAGTTCTCAGGTGCGCACCATTCTCCCATGTGCTTCCCGGTGTGCCTTGAGGGACGGCAGATGCAACAGCCTGG